TCGGTCAAAAAAACTGTGTGCTGTTTTTTCCCAGAGTTCAAATAAAACTCTTTCATGGAATATTGAATATGTTGTGTGCTTTACACGTAAAATTTGCATTTAATTTTGCTGTTTAATGCCAATTGTCCACGTTTACCATCAATGAACTACATGTAGGCCTCTATATTGTATATGTTGTGCAAGGTGTCGGTCTCGGTCGTCTTGGTCTCGGTCTCGAACTGCAAAAGTCTCGGTCTTGAAGTTCTGGTCTCGGTCTTGAAAGAGCTTGTCTCAGTCTTGGTCTCAGTCTCGAATGCCTCGGTCTCCGTCTCGGACATAAATGTCTCGACCACAACACTGGTGTGCGCTGCACTGCGACGAATGCCTTGACCAAGGCTATATATGACCATGGCTGTTTTCCTTCCTCCATGATATGACCATGGGTTATAATGCTCTATTCCGAGGATCAGCTCCACTATATATTGGGACAAATAAGTCAATGATGTGATTGATAATCTACCAGTTAGATGATGGCGATTTCTTCAGGCATTGTGTAATCTAATTTCTTATCAGTTTTATGACTGTATTGTTTTGTGCTCTTGGACACCTTTTAAACTTGTATGTGAGACCTCTTTAAGGCCATTACAAGGCCCCCTAAACCATTTCAAGACAAACACGAGACTTCCAATCCCAATTTAAGCCACAACAGCAACGATGTCAATGATCAATTTGTCAACTGATCTTGTGACTGGTCATTTGATAGTCTTGAGTGCAACACTGTTTTAGAATTGACACTAAGAAATTGAATGAATGTTGAGTATTATCTTGTTTGACTGGTGTTAATGCATGTAGCTCAATTGCTGACACATCTAACTTAATTTGTTTGCGCTGTTCCTTTTGTCTAATGCAGATCTTGTAGAACTACAGTGCTACGTTGCCACCGATACATGTATCAAGAGTAGTGCCATTTGGGAGTGGTGTATTTTGAACTACACTGTAAGCAACATGTCCCTCAACATTGTCCACTTGCTGGGGAACAGCCAAGCTTTTGACATGAAGGAGCTTTTAAATTTCAGTATCGACTCAGCTTTGGAGTTACATAGCAGTCTAAGCAACAGCCTGACATTAGAGAATACACAGAGTGGAGTAGAGCTCACAGCCTGTCAACAGCAGCTGTCTGAAGTCATCCAGTTCTTACAGGAGTTGATTCGAGTCAATCCAGAATGCATCACTCCATCAAATCTCCTGCGGTTTTTGGAAAACGTGTGCTACACTGCCATACATGTACATCAGTCTTACTTGCGAGGTCAGAGGTCAGGCAGTGATGATATGTTGCAGTCAGTTTACAAACTCTTTGCTGCTATATTGCTGACCCCTTGCGAGTCAGGGTTCCAGGAATTGAAATTTAGAATCCAACAAGAGTGTTTGGAGGGCCTACGCCATTACATTGAGGAACAGCGGTTGTTGGTAACTCTCCCATCAGAAGAAAACGAGAAGGGCATCCAGTCATCGGTGCTTTCCATGAGAGACATTTCAGGGATTTTAGATTATACTTTTAATACAGCTGAAGCTTGGAACACTGATCAACAACACACGCATGTACATGTGCATAGAGATGACTCTTGGCTTGAGGATTGCTTTAAATATCTTGTAGATGTCTTGGAGTTTAGTGAGGCAACTACGTGCTCACATGTCTCTGGCATCTTGCTTCCCAAGTTGCTTAACTTGTCCCAAGATAAACTTGACACAAATTTGTCCATAATCTGGGATAGACTTCTAAATATTCACAAAACATCAGCCAAAGTGAGGGCTGGACACACCTGTAATGTTTATATTACTCTGTGTGGTTTGTCAGAGTTGTACATTCCTCTAGTGTTATCATCCACCCCTGACCATTCATCTGTTCAGCATTCTTTCACCTTGCATGTAGAGGAGGCCTTTTGGAGAGTGATTCAGGCAGGCCTTGTTCACACAGACTCTCTCACTCGTAAGCAGGCATGTTTCTTGATGAAGCGAGCCATTGAGAGTGCATCAGCAAACAATCTCAAGATTCCTGACTGTGCATCACCCTCACCAGTGAAGATCACACATCAAGAACAGTTGACAGAACCTTGGTAAGTCTAGGCATGCTAGAGTGTGAAGGAAAAGGAAGAATTATGACGATTTTGATGCATGTTTTTCATCACAGTTGCAGAAAAACTACTGTTGACATTAATATATTAAACTGCATTTCAAAGTTTTGTTTGAGCATGTTTGTCCACATGACATTGCAGTTGTTATAGCACATCTTGTTTTTCTGAAACTATCTGTTATCAGTTATTAAGCATTAAAATATGTACATGTACGTGTAAGACCAGCTGGACTTTGGATGCTGATAATGACCTCAGCCTTCAGCTTTGAGATTTGCCAAATTCTTCAAAAAGCTATTTATAAATAGGAATAAATGCATGTACATGGACCGTTTGTGGGAATAAAATTTCTTGAAGCTCCGACCATCAGCTTCCGAAAGCCAGCCAGTTTTAAACATACTTGTAACTGTTTGTGTAATTCAGCAAAATCTCCAGAACTTCAATGCTTTGCTATTTTGTGTACTTTTTAAATATGTTCACAAACCGCTGTCAAATGACTCATTTACCTCCTACACAATCAGATGATTGAAATGACATCAACCACACCAAAATGGCTGTCTTTGTCATTGGGGATCGAGGGGGTTGTTTTTGACATGGAGAAAAAAAAAACAGTTCGAAAGTTTCAACTCCTGAAAATTGTATTTCTCAATAACAACAAAAACAACCCTTTTTCATGGGTATACATTCGTACACAATTGATTCAGACTGAAAATCAAATCACTTTCATAATTTGGGTATTTTATTTTTCAACCAGGAGGTACATGCACATGTACACGAAGCAGCTGTGGTGCATGTACGCACTCCTGGGTCTCATCAACTGTTCAGGCTTGGTCAAGAAGTTTACACTTACTTTCCATTTTTAGGACGTTACAATTCACTTCAAAGTGCTTTGTATAGGTACATGTAATGATTTTCCTCACCCAGTTCTGTGGGCTTCACTTCCCAGAGAAAGATTAGCTTCTTTGATGTACAGTACCGAAGTGTTGACATCACACATGTCCATTATTGTTCAGGACCAGTTTTGTTACTGGCTGGGGTTTTATCAACCTCTTAAGACTGGCAACATGATGGACTGTCCACCATTAGGAATGTAGAAACTGTCTTAGCAATAATGAATTGTTTATGTTCCAGGGACAGGTGTTGTAGCAAATATCGCTCAGTGACATTGTTGTAGAGTGGAAAAAAGTGACAGTGTGGTGAAAAGAAATGTACATGCACCAATACACTGTACAGGAGTATCTTGAGCTGCCAAGGGTCAGCATTTATGAAGTCCAACTTTGCCAAGACTGTGGTTGAGGTGTCTTGTCGTTTCAAGAAGTTGGTATTTTCTGCTAAAAATAATACTTGGCATTTGACAGGTTTGTTCAGGAGTAATATTATCATCCATGCCATTCGCAACTTGTTGATTTTTGAACTCCATATGCAGTATACACAATGCAAGAGAGAAAAAGGTCTGTTTAGTATATAGAGTAGCAAAATCTAATCAAAAAAGTGTGTAAAATTAGGTTTCAGCTGGATTATCACATACATGTACATGTATCCCTAGCTTTGGTGGAGAGAATTGATTTCAACAAAGTTTTCAAACATGACCTAAATTGAATCCAAATTATTGATAACATTCAGAATATGACTCTTGCATTGTGTTCCTAGGAGCAGTTCATTGGAAGGTGCTTACTTGTTTTGGTGGTCATGTGAATCACAGAAGAAGCTTTTAGCAATGTGGGCAGATTTCTTTCTGATGTATGAGACACTGGATGAAGTTCAGGTAAAGCAGCTGGATTGCTACAGTCAATTATGTTAATATTGCAAAACTTTGGATGGGACTACATTTACATGTAGGTGCATGCAATTTACTGTGTAAAATTTGCAGATTAAATTTACCGAAATGTGTTTGAAGTCTTTCTAAAGAAAAGAAATTATATAATCTCGTGGTGATTGTATGAACCCTCATTGCCGGCATTTTCTATGGTGCTTTCAAACCGAAACAGGCATTGTATGTTGGAATGTACACTGTACATAGTACAAGTCTGTAAAGCTTTAACAAAGATTTGGTATGTATAGTACAATACCACTATAATGATCAAGACGGAGTCCACAGAAATGTTCAGTATTAAGCAATTTTTGTCAGCAATGCACCTGTTCCTGGCTTTGACCCATTGAAACGTGGTGGTTTTGTCAGGCAAGCATTGTTTAAAAGGATTGAAACTAGGAAATTATTTATGGTAGATATCTGCGAGTTAATCAGTCACAAAAGCTAATCTATCTATGTGCATTCATTTCTGTTTCGATTTTTTTTTAAGGTTTTACATGTATACATAATAATAGCACCCCCAGTCCCCAACCACACAGAATCAGACAGTAGTAAAGTGTTTAATTCTGTGGGGATAGGTCTGGTAGGCCCATAACAGCTGGCATTTGCATTGGGTTTGGCATACCTCAGAAAAATAAAGTCCAACAGCCTCTGTGCACAAAATCCCATATGGATGTTTAACTTTGTGTGAATGGAGAAGGTTAGGGCCAGCAACCGTTGGGGTGTTAGGGTTAATGGGAGCACGTGCTCAGTGATTGTTTTGAATTACCTTTGAATAAAGTCAAGAATTTTACGCTTTGCGGAAAATCTGCAAAAATCACCAATTTGGGGTAGAAAGCGGAAAACGCAATTCTCGGTAAAAAAAAAAATAAAACAAATACATATTTTTGATCGTTTCTGTACAATTAATCAAATAAGAACCCAAATTAGGAATGACAACTCATTTTCACTGTTTAACTTACTTTGAAAGTAACAGTTGGTAGCGTTTCCCCTCCTGTTTTTCCTTTGGGATATTGCAGAATTTGGTATTGATTTCCTCCGGCTCCGTACCGCGGAGATCACACGGGTGCCCGTTCCTTCATAGGGCCCAGACGTCTCACGGCTTATCAATAAATCAAAACGGACAGGGACCAGTCCAAGATCACCATATCATGGTGCCCATGTAGGCCCTACATGTATCATTATGCCAAACATACATGTACCTGTAGATGTATGGTAAGGTGTGTAGGATAATGCCTTATCAACTACATGTAATAGCGCCCTCTGTTGACCATATTGTGAGTACATGGAAATATGCCATTAAGGCTGTCATCTTGAATAAAGCACTTATACATGAATGACCATCTCCACAATCTCTGTCGATAAAACCCAATATTACAAGGTGCATGTAGGCCCTACATGTATCATTATGCCAAATATACCTGTAGCCTAGGTGTATGGTAAATGTAGGCCTACAGTGCATACATGTATGTACAGTCATATACAGTTTTTGTACACAAAATTTAGAAAGCCGAAGAAAGCAGAATTTGACTTTCAGAAAGCAGAAAATTCTTGATTCTTTACCTTTGAATGACCTTTGTTTGCATTTCAGGTTCATGTTGTAACACCAGTGATGTTGAAAATGAGTTCTTTAATACAAGCTGCGTCCACTCCACATTTGGGTATGGGTCAGTCTTCAAAGCTTAATTTACTGTCTTATACAGTATACAAAGCAAGCATCATGTTTATTTGTCTGTTTGTACAAAACAATTGCAGCTTCATGTGTGGCAGGTACATGTATATGTATGTGTACAAACAGTGATTTGGACTCTCTGATTGGTGTATTCCTCCAGATGGCAGACCTCTGTTGCATTCCTCATGGCTCACAGTTCTGTTCTCCCGCTGGTTTGTGCATGAAACCAAAACTATATCACAGTGGGGTCTTGTGGAATACCTAGGGCTCAACATTACATCCTGTCCTATATTGCAAGAAGGTGGAACAGAGGTACAGTATACTGTGAGGATTCTGTGTTTCTATGTACATGTAGACTGTCCAGTTCAGTGTCATGCCTGGCAAATTTAGTTTTTATTATCCAAGTCCTCATGTACGTCTGTGTCAGATATTTTAAGCATAATGGTTTGTTATAGTGATGCAACATACATGTATTGTCTCCAAGTTGTAACGGGAAGTTGCTGCTTATGCACAATCTCTGCGTCACTTGACAAGGTAGAAGATTTTAAGATGTTTGCCACCATCAGATATGACTTGCCAGGGTGACATGCTTTGAATAACAGAAAAACATTAACTGTTCATCATAAATGGGACTGCTGACGAATTCCATTCGTTGTACATTGCCTATGCATACATGAGTAATTTGACAAATCCACACTTACACGTAGAAGATTGTCTCAGTGACCATGTTACATAATCACCAGATGCTTGGGAAACAGTTTACATGTAAGCCAGAGACTGTAATTTTGTGCAAAGAATGGGCACAGCTTAATCTCACTGATTGTCTGCATGAATATTCAGTCTCTCTTCCATTCTCCTTGACTGAATATTATCAAATCTTGATGAATTACAAGGACTTCACCCAGTAGCCTCCATATCCCATGAAGTACTGTATAATAACCTTTCAGTTTACAATTTCGTAAAAATGGTGAGAGTGTGCTAATTACTGCTTCTTTATGAATCCTTTCAGTTCTTTTTCAGTAGTGTTCTGCCTGTGCTGAATGATAGCAGCCTGTATGTCAACAAGACCCAAGGTGACCATTCTCGGCCTCTTGTTGCAGAGGCATTCACACAGTTCATGCAGACATGTGTCAAGATTCTCACAGCACAACAATGTGCAGGTAATAGTCAATTCAACAGTTGACTGATCCTTGGTTTTGTTGTAAAACTAATATATTTGGTTGAATGGATGTCACACCCGCAGGCATCCGGAAATATTAAAAAACCATACATACATGTAGTAAGGTGATGTTTGTGGACTAGCATTATCAGAACTATCACCATAATACAATGTACAGGTCATTTGAATTGTTACACTTACCACTGGCTGGGACCATTAAAACTAACGTTTCAGACTTTGTGCGTAAACCAAAATAAAGTAGCTTTGTTTGAACCCTGTTGAAATATGTTGTGCAGTTTGTAATTCCCTGGGCACCAAATCTCAAGTAATTAGGCTGTACATTTCTAGATTTTAAAGGTCCTGAGGGATAACTCTGAAGCCTTTGTTTGCACTATTTTGCCTGATTTTCTTGCAAGGAGATCAAGGTAAACACACTTGTATTGGACCAGATTTAAATAAAATGAGAAGAGATGAAAAAGTTTGTTTACTGCTGCCTCATTTGGTTTGCTGGTAGATTTCTTGCGGGAGTTGGTTGCAGCTGTTTGTCGTCAGTCCTGGACCCCTGTCAGTCTGACATTTGTCGTAGATGCCTTGACAAACCTCCCAGAATGCAGTGCATGGGGACCAACTGAACTGCAGCTACTGAGGTAGGGACAATTGCCAGGTGTAAAAATTGTGTTCCTTTGACTGTTAAAAAAGAGAACTTTGTGACAGTAACAGATTGTTCTGCACATTGAAGCTTATGTTAATGTGTGTATTCAAACATACATATAAATGGAACATTTTGATTGGAAAATTCAGTAGCAGCACTGATACCAAAATAAACTCTAGAGAAGAAATTCCAAGCTAACTCAGTACTCTGTTTTACTTACTTTACTTATTAAATGTGTGATCACACACGTTAACCTAGACAATAAAATCACACAGGATTGAAAGCAAACATTCATTAATTTTGTTCCTTCCAACACTTATGACCAGCCTTGTAGACAGGTTAGAAAGAGCTTGAAAATATCTGTTTAACAACGGCCTTATTTCATGCTGATAAAATTTTGGTTTGTTACAGAGAAATGCAGTTTTCCTGTGTCAACATGCTGTCTGTCAGTTATCGCCGTGTAGTGCAGTGTTTAATGCTGCAAGCTGTGCTGAGGCTACTAGACAAAGACAGAACCTCTCTACAGCAGCTCTCTGTCCTCTTGACAGTCTTCAGTAAATGCCTGTGCAGAGGTAGTCCTTTATGGACACAGGTACAAATAACAGGGAGGGTCTCAAGCAGAAAAAGGGGGAAGCTAAGAAGGGTGATTAGTTGCCCTATCTACAGAAATATTTCATGATTTGGTCTCAGATTTTCAGTTAGACTTCAATTCAAGTATTTGTTTAACTTGACCTGTCCATCATATCCTGAAAATGGTGAAAAATTTTGCTGATATTGATAAAAATCACCAATTTTCCATACTTTTAGAATGATGAGAGTTCAGACTGTAACCACAGCTTCATAATGGTTCAGCTGTGGGGATCTACATGTAGGTTCTGTCCAAATGCAAATGCAAACTACTCTTCTCTGTCAGATTTTCATTTGTGACCATTTTTCTTGCGATAGCAAGTTTCAGTTTGTGTTCGCATGAGGTGGCAAACTGATTCCGGTATCTAGATGTCTATCAACACTGTACTAACTTCATTCACAAGCTGATTTGCTGGAAAAGTTTAATTCAACTCAGTGCACTCTAGTTGACTGAATTGTCCTGTCCTTTAATGACAAGGTGAAACACATTGTTAATCCAATTTGTCTAATCTTGGACTGTCTAGTGAAATATTAAATACGAGTAAGTCACATTGAGATGTTTAAAGTGCAATCTGCTGATTTTGGAATTGTTTGAAGTCATAAACTCATCTGGTGGTTGGGATCACTAAAGTTTTACTTTTCGATCTTATACATCAATATGAAATGATACTCATCTGCAAGAGTTTCAGTCCTGGATGATTTTAATTTTTTAAATTTAATCATTGTCAGTAATATAAAAAGTGCCATCAGGATGCAAATCGATACGTATTTTCCGAACAAAATGTGAAATCTTGTATTTCAAGGGAGAAAAATTTATTCAACCTGGGCAGTATACCTTTCACATAGTCCAAATAAGAATGAATGTTAACAAAAGTAAGAGTGATTTGGTCATACAGGATATAAACCAAAGAAATAGTGCAAAATAAAGTTTTTAAAGAGTCACAGTAGCACTGAAAATTATCAATGTGTACCCAAACAGGTGCTGGTTGGATCCAACTATTTCCAGATACTTTTTTTTTGTTAGGTGTGTGAGTGGATTACAGCTAGTCGGGATACCCAGCTTTTTGGTTCAAATGGTGATATGGTGGCTGCTGTATGCTCCGAAGTAACTACCTTATTGACCTTCGACCCGTCTGCATTGTCAAATGCTTCCATAGATCTGAGTGATATTGGAGAGCCTTCCAGAGTAGCGTGTCTGGTACTTCTTGTAGTAGATGCTAAACACATAAGCAGAGAAAGGTGAGTTTATCAGGCCTATGTTTAGCAGTGTGCATATTGACCATTGATGCCTGGAACCGGCTTCAAATTGTAGGGCCTGGCACCTGTAATATCTTACACATTCCATTAACTTCGCTGATGAATTCCATTAACTTCGCTGATGGTAGAAAAAAGATTTTAAAGTTTGGGGGAAGGAGAGTATGTTTAAATGAAATCCATATTGTAAGAAATGTCAAAAGAGGTTGCATGTGAATGTGCAAAAAATAATGATCCAGCACAGTGGTTTAAAACCTTACCTAACCCAGACATCAGTAAATACTATCAAATTAATTTCACTCACATCAATTTAAACAATTGAGTAAGTCTTCAGAACTTATTAAGAGTCCTCATGGATTTTCAATTTGGCTACAGAAAAACATTTTTGCAATGGATGCATTGGCAAAAGCGCACTATTATTGATCTCCATAAATGAAGGTGCCCTCTATTGACAGTTATTTCTGGAAAGAGCATGCAGCAACCTGTGGCTATCGCAGTTTTTAAAAATTTCTGCGATCATTTTAAAGAGATGATTGTCTCAGTTTGGAAGTGAGATCATTATGCATTTGCATTTCATTGCAACATAACAGGAAAGGAAGGGGGAAATTTCACTTTCACTTAATGTTCTTTGAATTTATTGAATTTTTAAATAAAATGACAATGATTTTTTTCTTTATTTGAGAGTTATTATTTCAATAAAGTAAATTCCTCACTTGGTCTGGGTCCCTCTTTCACTAAGCATTGTAGTGATTTCATAGTACGAAGCAATCTTAAAAATTGAACAAGTTGCTTTTTCCAAGTGACCTGTCTTTCCCATTCAAACATGTTTTTTCAATTCTTCCTAAAGAAGCAGTATTCGTTGGGTCACTGTTCCCTCAGTGCGTTCTGAACCTGCAAGGTCAGGGTATGGCATTATGTATGTATTTTGCTGGTGAATGAAATTGGCCGCTTTTGTTCAACACATGATTTTCCTTTCAGTTTTTTTTTTCAACTATCTTCCAGTTCAAGTTGAAATAGACCATGTTTCGGTTTGAGAAACTCTTATCTATTCCAGGCCATGACACAACACCGAGCAAGTAGAAATGTCATCGTTTGGCTCGTTTACATGACAACTACATGTAGTGCAAAAATATCTCTTCACCCTCTAGCGTCCGTCAGGATCAACAATTGACATTGCCCCTGACAAAAAGCTACATTTCTGTCAACAACTTTTCAGTTTAAAATCCACCTAAGCTGTATTATTATAACCCTCAAATTACGACTGACCTTCGCACACAAAGTCCACACAATTACAACGAAGTTGATGGCATTCGAGCGAATGCGATGACACAGAGCGCTGGGCCCAACGTCATCAGCAGCAACCACATTCAGTATACTCTACATATGTCAACAATAGAGGGTACTGTTCATTGTGCTCCAAAAAGGTTAATTCTTGGGTGACAGCGGCTCAGAAAATTGATTTTTTTGGCACAATGATGAATTGCGCCACTTTTCCACTTGATTGTATTTATTTATATATGTATATTATTCAGGCGGTTTATGGCCGATTGTAAAAATGCATCAACAAACAAATGTTGATGTGAATTTTTCTTGTTTGGTACTTTTCATAGTTTACTGTAAAAAGTAAACGCAAATTTCTGCACTCTTCAATATTTTTTGAATGCAAATTTAGGCCTGTATCAGCTGAAAGAGTGTCTAACAAGCTACAAAAATGATGAAAAGGTTCTCTATCAAGAAAGAATTTTGGTTTTGAAAAGCAGGGTTTTTGTTGGCATTTTTTTCAACAAAAATAGCTAAGGTGCATACTTAAGTGGAGTATACGGTAAAACTATTGAAAAAACAAACTAGTTTTTGATGAATATCATCTCATTAGATACTACTTAATTGATTAAAAGCATGATGTCGAGGGAAACAATATGAAATGTCCGGGTCTTAAACCACAGTGACAAGGTCTTATATTCTTTCACTATAGGCCTACTGGCATGATGTGTAGATTACCGTGCTTTACTTATCACACTTGTGAGCCTGTATGTCAAATTGAAAGTTGGTTTGGTGATTCGCATGCTGTCATTTATCGATGATTGTACTTACGGTTTCCTGTTCAGGGACATTTTCTGTGAGACGCAGTTTTTAGATCTGGTTTTATCTTATTTTGAATTTTATTTTTATATACAATTTCCACCTTTTCCATTTATAAATGTGTTTGTATGCTTGTCCCATTTTGGTGTGTGCAGTCAGTTCCCACCATAACTTTAGGACTTAACAAATCAACTTGAAATTTGACAGGTGAGTCGGTCTGGGTGTCTTCCAGATGTGAGCTGATTGTAAACCTATGTGTTTTTTTGTAATTAAATGTTCCTCTCCCGTAGCATGTACATGTAGGATGAAATGGATTGTGAAAACCTGGATTTCTCATCTTGTGACATTCTATGCCTCTGTAACTGTAGAGTAAATAAAAGTTTTTCATGACAGTGAATTGGGTGGGATACAAAATCAGGGACAATACCCATTGAAGAAAATCTGGCATCTGTATTGCTTTCTGGTGAATTGAGTAAGTGACTTGAACACGGTTGTGTCTGACATGACTGCTGTCACATAGAAATCCTTGCTTTGGAAAGACCACTTTCTTCCTGGGTATTATAGCAAAATAAGTTCAAACTAGTTTCAGCAAAAACTACATGTATAGTTTATTTCAACAGCAGATTAATACGTACGCATTGCATATTTGCTTTTGTTGAATAATCCAATCTACCCAACTGTTAACAGAAAAATGTCTGAACCTCCCCAGAATGAATCAATTTGTCTGAATTTCAGGACTGTCTCACAGCACCCCTCTAAGCTTTTCATATTTTTAATCTACAGGTCTTCACGTACAAATAATGGGTCTCACCTACACGCCATCTTAGCACCACTGGTCTCTGTCTTAGCTAGTATTGGCAGTCACATCTATCTACCAGTCATTAAGGCTGACACAGCTCTTCAGCTGCTTCATAGTATATTGCTACATCTTCATCACCCAAGCACCAGTGGTGGCTCACCTGACACTGGTAAAGGTGACCAGTGTTGTAGTGGATTCCATCACAAGACCAGACACATGACCGGACACAAGACCATGCACAAGACTAGTACACTGCAGGCGACCTTTTCACAATTAACCATTTTCTTTTCTTTGGTTGTTGTGACTGCAGTTGTGCAAGCTTAA